CGCCTCTCTCAATGCTGCTGTATCACCTACGTAATGCATAGGCCACCTGTCTCATTTGACGGTCTTAAGAAGCACATTCTAAAACGCATTACACAGCCTAGCACTGAGCACATGGAACTCTGATTGAGAAACGTCAACACAGTAAAAGTATTTTCATAGTAAAAGCTGAACTTTGCAAGTCCCAAGTTGCATTCATTTAAATCTAGTGTGTGAAATAGGGAAATGAAAATACTGTACTGTTTTTCTGGGTCTTACTCATAGGATGAAGATTCTAGTTTATAAATAGTGGCTTTTTCCAAATAAAGAATCCCTTTGCTGTCCCTGCATCATGAGGTCCAGAAATAAACTCAAACATGGTTGAGACCATTTTGCTTATTATATGCCATGCTTGTTACTACGGATAATGTAGCATTTTGGCTACCAGCTATAGAGATATCTACCTATTAGGTCATTGGAAAACTCACGACATATTTTTCTATGCAACAATGCATCATGATTTTTCTGATAACCCAATGTTATGCTTAAATAAATACTCCCCACATTACTGACTTTTTGAGCTTAAAACTGACCTTAGGAATAATTCAACCCAGAGGTCAGCAACTAGTGCCCACAGATCTGCCCATCACTTGCTTTTGTAAATAAAGTTTTACTAAAAGGCAACCACGTCCATCTATTTGGTCTTAAGAAGCACATTCTAAAACGCATTACACAGCCTAGCACTGAGCACATGGAACTCTGATTGAGAAACGTCAACACAGTAAAAGTATTTTCATAGTAAAAGCTGAACTTTGCAAGTCCCAAGTTGCATTCATTTAAATCTAGTGTGTGAAATAGGGAAATGAAAATACTGTACTGTTTTTCTGGGTCTTACTCATAGGATGAAGATTCTAGTTTATAAATAGTGGCTTTTTCCAAATAAAGAATCCCTTTGCTGTCCCTGCATCATGAGGTCCAGAAATAAACTCAAACATGGTTGAGACCATTTTGCTTATTATATGCCATGCTTGTTACTACGGATAATGTAGCATTTTGGCTACCAGCTATAGAGATATCTACCTATTAGGTCATTGGAAAACTCACGACATATTTTTCTATGCAACAATGCATCATGATTTTTCTGATAACCCAATGTTATGCTTAAATAAATACTCCCCACATTACTGACTTTTTGAGCTTAAAACTGACCTTAGGAATAATTCAACCCAGAGGTCAGCAACTAGTGCCCACAGATCTGCCCATCACTTGCTTTTGTAAATAAAGTTTTACTAAAAGGCAACCACGTCCATCTATTTCCATGTTGGCTCTGGCTGCTCTCACCCTACAACAACAGAACTGAGCAGGTGCAACAGAGACCATGTGGTCTGCAAAGCCAAAACTACTGACTACCTGGTCCTTCACCAGTTCTCCTACGCCTCCCCTCAGGAGAAAAACTGAGGCTAGCAACAAACGACCTGTCAAAGTGTCAAGGTGTGGGGCCAGGGAGGAATCCCACTGTCAGGCCCAGCATGACGGCCTGAAATACCTTCCACTTCACCCTTCTCCAAGGACCACATCAGAATGGCGACCGGGAATAAGGACAACCATTCGAGTCAGCAGAGTCCTTATGCCCATGGCCACACGTCATGATCTCACCGTAAGTAGAAACAAGTAACGACAGCTCTAACTTGGAATGAGGGTGGTCCATCTTTCAGGAGGAAGATGGGAGAAAGGCGCAAAAGGGCTTACCAGCCTCTGATGGGAGTTCTGTAAAGCTCTCGGTATGTCATCCTGTACCCACCCCACTTACAGTAATGACACGTTGGAATGCCCCTCACTCAGCCCCTTGATAACAGTCTTGCCCATCCTGGCTGCCACCTGAAACAAACAATTGGAGCAGCTGCCACCTCAGGCAGGACGGGAAGAGAGAAAGGAGGAAAGAATGACAGTGAGAGAAACTTTAAGAGAAAGTGTCCCCTCCTGCATGGAGGCTATGGAAGCATGGAATGGTCTAGACTTGAAAGAAGAGCAAGTGAATTCTGCTCTTACACTGCCTTACCTGGGTGACACTCGCCGAGCCCTAACTTCCCTGACCCTTATTGTGCACCTCTGCCAAATGGACCAGATGATACCAGTTATCTGCCACGCAGGGGAAAGTTCAGGTCTCGGCTGTCCCTGGTGCACTGAAGGGACACCGTCTACTCCTCTCCTTTCCATTCTCCCCACTCCAAGTTCACTGTAGGGAATGGGCAGCATTGGAACAAGGCACAGAGCTCAGGTTCTGTTTCCACACAACCCTAGAGGGGTGGTCTGCATCCAGCTCTACCTCCTAAAGGGCTGTAAGAGTCCAAGACACAACCCTACCAAGAACCCACTGAACCTCCTGCCGCACGAGGAATACCACAACCAGAACCTTAGAGAAAAATTGAGTTAGACGGTTTAAGTAAATGGCCTGCCCAGAATATGACACTTAGTAAAACACTCACTATAAATAATATAAATTATACCTCCCTAATTTGCATTGGTTTAAAGAGAGCCCCAAGCAGCTTTACACAATCAGAACATGTGCACTGCATATGCATGTGAGTATACAAGTGTGAGTGTGCACACACACGTGTACGTGTGTATGTTGTTTCCTTCAACCAGAATATAAGCTACCACAAGGTAGATCAGTTTGTCAATTTATCTGTTACCTCCTTTCAGAGCTGCTAGATTTACTCCTTCCTCCCCTGCTTGGATCCTTCTGAATTCAAATGAATTCTACCAGACTCGTGAGAGGTGCTGGTGCGGCCTAAGGGGACGCAAACGTCACAAAAGCCACCAGCCAAATGAGAAATAAGCTATTCTGGAGACAGACCCCGATAATACTCAGAGCATATGTATGGAACGAGCTACTTAAAACATGAGCATCCAGAGTGTTACGGTTTTGATACATTTAAAAGCCTCCTCAGTCCTTTAATAACACACTTGATAAGTTTACACATCCTGTCGGAATCCACAAACATTACTGCAAAATTAACTGGGCAGCTTCAGACCCAGTGAGTCCCCTGCCAGGGAAGATTGTCTGTGACTGCTTCCCAGACAAAAGGACAACTGTTCTCAGGGCGGTGATGATGGCCACCATGGGCATGGCCAAAGCTTGCAGAGTGTCCCACTGCTGGCAAACAGGGTCACAACGACAACTGTTAATGAAAAACACCAGAGAGAAAGAACGGAGAAAAGAAGAGAGAGGGGAAGGAATCAGGGTTGGGGACGTGCAGAGATGTGCTACGGCTTGGCAAGTACAAGCCTGTCTGGAATACTCTCCCAGCCCATCTGGGCAGCGTCAGCTTCCCTGACACCCACAAATAGGCCCATGAGATTCCAAGGCAGGTTATGGCTCGAAAAAGAAATCCCACCACATGTTTGCAAACACTACCCCCAGATTTGTGTTAAAGGTGGAACAAAAGCAAAGAGGGTTCGCCCTCCAGAGCTTTCTATTATGCAAGCCGGACATGTCTCATGTCATTATTTCCAACCTGTCTCCCTGGGCAGAGTAGGGCAGGGTGCTGGACAAATCTCCCTTCGTGCCTTAAATCAGTCTTGAAGAGAGAAACGCTGTGATGTACGTGGTCACCAGCACACTCAGATTCATTCTTCAGCCAGCCTGCGTGATTCAGTCCCCAGCTGCAATGCCACAAAGGACCAGGGGGGAGTATCTTTCTAAACTGACCTGGAAGGACAGCTCAGTGCCATTCTGGATGCAAGCCTGGACCACAGGAGGCTCGTTTCTCTTTCTTGGGTGATGTCCCCATCCAAGCAGAAAGTGATTAATACCAGAGAAAGGGAAATCTCCATTGTGACCCTAAATACAGGTCGTGGCCGTCATCCCAGACACACCTAGGGACAGGGTCAAAGCTGCCCAATGCCCTGGGCAAACGAGTAGAGAGCACAGACCCGTTGGGCCGGCCAGTGGGTGGCAATGCCTCTGTACGGCCCATGGCAAGCATGACTGACAGCTGTCACAGCAGGTCATGGCTCAGGGAGCTTAGAACAGGTGCCCTGTCTTCTCACGATGCCACAACAGCTCTCCGCCATGTCAGCCCTTGAGCAAGAAAGACATAAACCTGTGCAGAGGGAGACTGTCCCCGCTGGGCTCCCAGGGCAATGTCCACAACTACTCAAGGGTGTGGGAAGCAGAGGACCAGCTCAGCAACTCACCTGCCAGAGAAGGGATGTCACCCCAAGGCCTCAAGGTCAGGTCCCTGGGGCCTCTGAGGGATGTGTCACCCTCAGGAAGAACTCACTTATGAAGGGACTATCTCCCCTCACAACTGGGAAGATGTTGCCTTAAGCACATCAGCCCCAGTTCCACATCCTGTCTGCCTGTCTGGCCAACTCGGTCACACACACACTTTCTCACCTTCTGTTTCCTGACTGATTTGGGGCTCTGTGTCGGTCCCAGCCTGTCCCAGCAGCAGAGCCCAGGGGATAATTTTACTGCTGTCTCACAGTCATTCAAGTCAGAGAATGCTGACAGGTACAGGCCCGGTATCTTTCCCGAGTCTCCTTGGGCATTTGACAGGGGAGGGTTCAGCTGCAAAGGGCCCCAGGGAGCGTCATCTCTCAGTGCGTTTCCCAGAAAGGCACAGAACAAAGCTTAGTGCCAGCTCACAGGCCTCTAGCAGTGTCTGTGAGAGCTCTTGCCCTGTGAGTCACAGCCCCCCACCTCCCCTGGCCGCTGCCACCACCAGCTCCCAGCCCAGGCCCCACGTGGCCAGCAAATGCCAGCAAAAACCACACTAAAAGGCCACTCTGTCTGCTCCTGCAGGCACGTGGGGCACTGTGCCGACCACAAGCCCAACTGTTCCATCTCAGCTCCTGCTG